ACAAGAAGAAACAGTGAAATTATATTTTTTTTATTTGTTTCTAAAATAAATTTTAATATTAAAACCTGAATATTATAGTTTTGTAGAGTAGTAATTATCTTGTTTACTATATAATAATAATAATAATTTCAACTTCAATTTCTCCCGGATAAAATAATATAATATGATATGTTATTTGCATAAAAAAAACGTATTTACTTTATTTGACTGTTTTTTCTTTTTTGGAAAATAATTTTTTTTGTTGCAATATTATGTTTACGTTCGAGACGTATGTATATTCGAGATGCTTAAAAGACACGGTGATGACAATAACTCGAATAACTCGAATAACTCGAATTGAATTATTAATTTTGTGTTAAATTGAATTAAAATACATGAAAATTAGAATTAAATAAAATATTTTTTTTTTTTTTTTTTTTTGCTTACCTTATTTTTAAAAATGTTTATTGTTGTGTTATAATTTATTTAATATAATTTATATATAAATGGAACATTAAAAATTAATTCAATTAAATATTATATAATTTGACTGAGTCGGTTGATTATTTAAAATATATATATATATATATATATAATATATATAAATGGATAGAGCAAAGTTCATTTTCAAGAAAATAATAATAATAAATTATGAAAAGAAAATACCGCCAAAAGTATACGGATATGTCAGCCACGTGAACAGAAGGAAGGCAACACGTGGACAGTTGAAAGTGGTGGAAATTAATTTAATTATCCGTTCTGAGTCCATTATTTTTTGTATTTTCTCTGACCTTTCTTTACCCAAGCGGTGCTGACTCAGCATTTCCAACCTTTTTCCAAATGGATAAACCCAAACGAGAAAATTGGAGTTTCGAGGGTCAATAAATGACCTCCTAAATCCAACTAAATACATGCACGTGGCGCTTGAATAGGGCACCTCGCCTGTGGTCCCGGAGCTACGTAGGTTGCGGTCTGGATAATACCCGAAACGACGACGTTTTCACCAGGATTGCGCCATTATAAATCCGTGGCCAACGGCGGTGTTTCTGAACACTTTCCGACGATTCTACGTGTTAATCTCTGCGATTCGTTTTTTGTTTTTTGAACTGTTTTTGCTCTCTCCTTTTCTTCTTCGTCTTCGAAGTTTTCTTTGAGTTTTTTCTAGTCAATATGTGTGGAATTCTTGCCGTTCTTGGTTGCGCCGATGATTCTCTGGCCAAACGTGTTCGTGTTCTTGAACTATCTCGTCGGCAAGTTCTTAATCTCCTCTGCATTTTCGTTGTTTGTTGATCTCATCGTTCTCTCATTTCGTTTCTTTATCTGTATACCAGTCGGTGCTTTATTTATAGCTATCTGCACATTATATTTGAAGTAATGGAGCATTTTAACTTTGTAAAATGTAAAAAAAAACGAATAAAATCGAAATAATTTGCTGGAAATCCATTTCTCATCATCTATGATCGTTTTAGTTTTTTTTTTTTTTTTTCTTCCAGATATCGGGGAATTTTTTTGATACATTCATTTTGTATCTGTATTTAGAGTTTGATATAAGCTGCTGCATGTTTGTCCATATTAAGCATGGAGATGGTTTGAAGTTTGAATGATATAATACACTTTCCCTATGAAGGTTTAAACTGTGTTTCAAATCCAGTGTCTGTGGAAATAGTTAGCGAACGGAACTCTGATGATATTTAGTTTGTAATCTCTAGTACGATTTTGGCATTTCCTTCCATGCAGCGATTCCCGTGAAAAAAAGAACTCTGTATCTGATTGTGACCTTTCAACTTTTGAACTTTTAAAATTTTGGCTGAGAATCAGACATGTGGATCCCTACCACAACGACGTTGGATAATATTAAGGCAGAAAACGGAAGGTTTATTGATCCGAGTGGTTAATCGAATAAATTTCACAGAACAGACTTAATGACTTGTTGTGGTTTGATAGATTGAAACACCGTGGCCCAGACTGGAGTGGGCTCTACCAGCACGGCGATTGCTACTTAACGCATCAACGTTTAGCCATTATCGATCCTGCATCCGGTGATCAACCTCTTTATAATGAAGATAAGTCCGTTGTCGTCACGGTACACTCCCTTACCTTCTTCTTCGTTGTATGGATGTGTGTTGTTTTTTCCAAATGAGAGGGGAAGCAGACACACGAAAGCACTCTCTCTTATCGTTCTGATGAGCAAAAGTGTTTGCCTGAAATTAGGTTAACGGAGAGATATACAACCATGAGGAGCTGAGGAAGAAATTGAGGAACCACAAATTTCGAACCGGCAGTGACTGCGATGTTATCTCGCATCTGGTATTAACAGATATGATTATGTGAATAATTTTTGCTCGAATAATCTGATTTTTTTCACGAGTTACCCATTTGCTGTGCTCAAGTGGATGGGATTAAGATATATATCGTTTGGTGTCTGTGTAGTATGAAGAGTATGGAGAGAATTTTGTGGGCATGCTTGATGGAATGTTCTCTTTCGTTCTTTTGGACACGCGTGACAACAGTTTCATTGCCGCTCGGGATGCAATTGGAATTACTTCCCTATACATCGGCTGGGGACTCGATGGTAACTAAAATAATTCTGAATCCCCTTCGTTAGTCCCTGTGTTTAATCTATGATCCTTTGACATGGTCTCTAAATGCTCTTTATTTTATATTATGATCAGGCTCAGTCTGGATATCTTCGGAACTCAAAGGGCTGAATGATGATTGTGAACATTTTGAGACCTTTCCACCTGGGCACTTGTACTCTAGCAAGCAAGGTGGATTCAAAAGATGGTATAATCCAACCTGGTTCTCGGAGGGTATTCCATCGACCCCGTATGACCCACTTGTTCTGAGACGTGCATTGGAGAATGTATGAATTGGAAGATACTTGATTAAGATTAACGTGTTCTGAGATTCTATTAGGATAAAGAGCTTACATGCTAAATTATGCAGGCTGTGATCAAAAGGCTGATGACCGATGTCCCTTTTGGAGTTCTGCTATCTGGTGGCCTAGATTCATCGTTGGTTGCCTCTATCACTGCTCGTCACTTAGCCGGCACAAGAGCTGCCAAGCAGTGGGGTACACAACTCCATTCCTTCTGTGTTGGCCTTGAGGTAGGTTTCTTTTCCTCTTAAAGTTCATACAATTATCGATTATGTGCATACTGGGAGCCGTTTAAGATTCGTCCTCTGATCATCTGATGTTCAGGGTTCACCGGATCTGAAGGCTGCTAGAGAAGTTGCAGATTTTTTGGGAACTGTTCATCACGAGTTCCATTTCACAGTTCAGGTACGATACATATCTCGAGAACTTTGCCAACAAATATGCATCCCCCTTTTGTTGATATAATATTACAATCGTTATTTTCTTTTATAATAGGATGGGATTGATGCCATTGAAGACGTTATCTACCATATAGAAACATATGATGTAACTACTATCAGGGCAAGCACACCTATGTTTCTCATGGCACGAAAGATTAAGTCACTAGGAGTAAAGATGGTGATTTCTGGTGAAGGCGCTGATGAGATTTTTGGCGGATATCTGTACTTCCACAAGGCTCCTAATAAGGAAGAGTTTCACCGTGAAAGTTGTCGCAAGGTATATGATTTTATGAACAGCCCTGATCGATTTTTCATGGTTTGGTTGAAGGGAATTGCATTATTATCAAAGAACTCTTTTTCTTGCTTGCAGATAAAGGAACTTCACCTGTATGATTGCTTGAGAGCTAACAAAGCAACTTCAGCGTGGGGCTTGGAAGTTCGAGTTCCATTTTTAGATAAGGAATTTATTAATGTTGCAATGGCCATCGATCCAGAATGGAAAATGGTAGAGAAATAAATTTCCCCAAGTCTTCTTCTTAGCTTTGTAGTAGCCCTTTTCGTTTCTCCTCTAATCCATTAATCTATTTCAGGTCAAACGTGAACAAGGTAGAATTGAAAAATGGGTCCTCAGGAGAGCTTTTGATGATGAACAGCAGCCATATCTCCCTAAGGTCTCAGGAAAAACCCCTTAGTGTATCATTCAAAAACCATAACTTAGATTAGAATGTGACCCTTTTTTCCTGCATGCAGAGTGTTCTGTACAGACAGAAGGAGCAATTCAGTGATGGTGTTGGATATAGTTGGATTGATGGCCTTAAATCCCATGCTGCTCAACATGTAATCTGCTAACCCCTTCTCTTCTATTGCCTTACGAACTCATTCGGTGCTTTTGCTTGATTATGACTTCTCAATACATGATTTCAGGTGACTGATAAAATGATGCAGAACGCTGAACACATCTTCCCCCAAAACACACCAACATCCAAAGAAGCCTACTACTACAGAACCATATTCGAGAGGTTCTTCCCACAGGTAATTTACTTTCATCAACAACATTGTTGACCCATATGAATGAATTTCATTAACCCAGTTTTGCAATGGCTTTACAGAACTCAGCTCGGCTGACCGTTCCAGGAGGACCAAGCATTGCATGCAGCACAGCAAAGGCTGTCGAGTGGGATGCTGCTTGGTCTAAAAATCTCGATCCTTCAGGTAGAGCGGCGCTTGGAGTTCATGTTTCAGCTTATGCAGATGAGGCAACCAACGTAAACAGCATTCTCCCGTCCAAGATGATCGATACCATTCCAAGAATGGAGGTGAGTACATCTGGATTAAAAATCCTCAGCTAGTATAGGATGTAGTAGTAGGCTACCTTGCTTTGATATTAGATCATGTCCTCTGAAGTACATGTTTAAGTGCACAGGAGTGATGTAAAGTAAGGATCTTGAGCAGAGTATTATTTTGAGACATTCCAAGTAAACTTTCTATGAATCTATTACATCTTCTCTTGGATTCTTCGGATTATGTGATTTTCTGCCTTTTAAGCATGTCTGGACGCAGATTATAATTATATAATTGATGTGATTACGTGAATTGCAAAGTTGAATCAAATTTCTGTTCTCTTGGTCGTTGACAAATAAACGAATCTTTTTATTTGTAAATAGCTGTTTCTATATATATTATATATCTCAGCCCTATAGTCTAATTTCAGCCATCATCAAAATTTACAATACCTCATCCTAGAAAACGAGCTTCTTCCTAATTCTCTCCTGCAATTATTCTGTACAAGAGAACAGAAACACAAAATCCTGAATCCCTTGCTAACTATTCTAACTAATTCTAGAAAATGGGTTATATGCACCTTCCCATTCTTCACTGTTCGGAGCGTCATAGCACAATTCTTCTCTGCCTGTAGTCGAAATAATCACGACGTAGACTGGTTGAGCACGTCGGATATTTCTTGTTGTGGCTTGTATTGTTTTGAAGATGGTTTTCTTTAGCTTCCCCTAAGAAGGGGAAGAACAATCAGTCAACATGTTTCCCCCACAACTCTTCAACCAATCACATCAAATTACGTATATGATCCATGATTGTCTTGTAAAAGATCAAATTGAAGAACACTGATATATTTGCATCACAGAGCTCTAGAACACTTATTTTGCAACACAAATAACCAGTGGTCGATGCAGTTTAATTCCATTTTCCATTCTTGTAAGATTAGTTTGAGAGGGGTGAGGACGTACTCCTCTTGTACTTGACTCAAGATACTCCTCTTCTCAGCATGCGTCGTTGGATGAAAGTTCAGTTCTCACACTGTATCTTCAAATCTCATCAGAACCGTTGCTGTTCTCGTTGGCATCATCGTGAATTTGGGACTTCCCTGCCAAACAATGTGATAGAGATCTCACGTTATAACCAAGTTTATAGATTACACTTCACTTAATATAAGCATCTGATGAGTTAGTTACCTGATAATGAGCTAGACCCAACTGTGTTCTTCTGCAAGAGTTTCTGGCACATTACAGTTTCCTGGAAATCCAGGAAAGTGTAATTAAGAAACTCTAATCTCTCGGAATCAGTCATCTTTGAAAATCCAAATGAAGTAGTCCATGTATGGAGCACACTAGAAACAGCTGGTAAGATCAGCCTCTGAACTCCCAGTCCTCTCAGCCTCTGGAGAAACACGTCAAATCATGAGAAGTACAATAGTTTCTGAGCACTAGAGGTTTGGTAGAAGAAAAAATGGTTAAGAAAAATAATGGATATGAAGAAAAGCATATGTATGTTAGAGTGCAACTACCTCTTCGAGCTCGTTCATCAAAATACGACACATGCCGAGTCGGCGATACTGAAAACGAGTGCCAACGAGTGGAACTTCTGCGACCTTCTCTCCATAGATCCTAGAGAGAACAAAAAGTGAAAGGCATATCAAAGGAATGTTTAATTCTAGGTCCTATCGCCACAGCTGAGATATATGTGCTCACCTTATAGCAGCGACACTAACTAATTCATCGTTTCGTTCTAAAAGGACTGTATAGAAACCTTGAAAGTTCAACCGCTTAAGCTCTGAACTGCAAAGTCATAGACAACAAAATCAGCTGGACATTGCAAAGAACTCATAAGCTTTGATCATGAACCATCTATTTCCAAGAACATATAGAACCAGCACGGATATCCTATCTACATTTTCTGATATATTTTGTAAGAAGGGAACAAAAAGACCAAAAGGGGGTTGCCAATTTCCGAGTACAAATCGCTGCATACATTTAAGAAGGAAACGAAAACAACTGTAAAATGAACGTCTCACCTTCTGCTAAAGATGACGTCCTCTGCAATGTCTCTCCTCGTGTGATGTTCCCTAACTGGTTTGAAACATTCATGCATCACAGAGAGAGCAACATTGAGCTTGCTCTGGGTTTCTGTCAAGGTCTCAAGGTGAGGGGAATTGAAATAATCAGTATCAGAGGTTGTGGCCTTTAGTAGTGACCAGGTTAGATTGTCACCACACACTGGAATTGATTTTCCCAATAGCTGCTGGAGACCACAATATATCTGGACCAAAACAAGGAAGACTAAGAATATTTACTATATGATTTTCATAACGTTAATTACACTGAACACTGGAATACTTGCTACTCGGCCGAGGCATTTTAAATGGTATCCCAATATATCAACTTCTCAGGCAATCAATTCTCAATGAAGTCAGATTATGCAAAATCATCCAAGTTTATATTATAAAATACATGGAGTAGTAAGCTCGTGACAGTCCAACCTTTTAAAGAAATGAAGAGGGTTGAGAATTACCACTTTACATTGTTTGTTACAAAACCAATAAGTGTTGGAACGGATTCCAAACTTTTTGGTCTCCCTTAGGCATTCAACATGATCTGCACGAAGAAACTACCCGAGCATTAACGGACAATATTTGTGGGTTATTCTCAAAAAATATGCATGTTCTTATGTAATGAATGACTTTTTAGATGAAGTACCTACATTTACGTTCACATTGATAACAAGTGAGGGAAGGGTCATCAGCAACATTGGCATCTTTACTCAAATTGTTCTGGCCACAAATGCCACAACAACACGATGGACAAAACCAATCACCTTCAGGAATGTCCTAAAACAGTCAACAGTCAACAAATCTCAAATTTCTAATATATTGAACTAAGAAACTAAGAATAGGTATGTCTACCTGTAAACCCAGGCAGCTTTGGTGGAATGATGATGGACACTGATCACATAAAATTAATGTGCCTCCAAAGTGACAAATTGAACAGATATAGTCATTCTCACCTTTAGAATAGCCACCTTTCATACAATCAAATGCTTCGCTCATAAAGTTCGAGGTCTTTTTATTGCATAGTATCTGGCACTCTAACAAAGATTTTCCATCTTCCAGCAGTATATTTGCAGCCGATCGAGATGAAATACCGCCAGCGTGTATTCCGAAACCATTGATAGTAAATACCTTCTGACAGCAGCAGCATTTGATCCCATCACGAGATATCCTTCCTTCAGCCATTGGTTGAAGGCCCTTCCCTCTACAGTAATAAACCTTTGCCCTGGGCAACACCATATTGTTGTCTATCAACCAGAAGAGTACTGTTCTAGGGTTGTGGTGTGAAGGACTTGGAGTGACCACCTCATGAACTCTTTTGCTTGAGCGTGACACCCGCATAGACCTCCTATGTTCTATGTCAACTGAAAATTTATTGATACTCGCACGTACACTTTCTCTGTTCAATTTTTGCTTAACTGCTCCAGGACTTCTTGTGGACCTCAAATACTTTTTGCATACTGTCTGGATGCCTGATTCACATGCTTTACCATCTAAATTATGTTGGCTTTGAGCTAAGTGAGGTGAAAAACAAAATAAATTAGCCATGCTCCTGGGTTTTTTAGTTCTTTGAAATTTATCTTGACCAAATTCCTCGAAACCTTTGGGTGGAGATATTCTAGGAGACTCTCCACAACATGTTCTAATTGAATTTGAAGGCATCGAGCATTCCTGTACATCCATATTACTTGGTGCAGAGTAAATTTTATTACTAACTAACTGACCCGCAGCCTTCTGTATAATGAATACATTTTCCATACTTCTAACAGGAGAGTCGGTACGATTGTAGACACCCTCTTCATCTAAACAGATCTTGCAGGCGGTTGAAAGTGTCATACAACTTCTGCCTAGAGGTGAAGTGTAGCACCATCTTTGCCTGTCTCCTTTACCTTTCTGTTTGACAAGCATATGCCATCCCAAAGATAATAGATGCCTCCTTGCTTCTGATTGCATTTTAAGCACATCCTTGGCTCCATTTCTTCCTAACTGACTCAGGTTATGGTAGTCCATGACAGCTTTATGCAAAAGTTCAGGTTGTTCTAAGACAACACCAGAACTGTCGGGAGTAGTCGGAAAGCGGTTATGGTAGTCCATGACGGCTTTATGCAAAAGTTCAGGTTGTCCTAAGACAACACCAGAACTGTCGAGAGTAGTCGGAAAGCGTTTATTGTAGTGCATGACAGCTTTATGCAAAAGTTCAGGTTGTCCTAGGACAACACCAGAACTGTCGAGAGTAGTCGGAAAGCAGTTGTTGGGACTTGAACTCTTTTCTCTCTGTTCAAGGGCACTAGATGAGAGTATCACATGACATGAGTCATGCATGATTCTCCTTTCATTTCCGGAAACAGATGGAGGGATCTCAACGGAGTGTTCCTCCAAGAGATTGCACACCTGAAGAAGAGAATAGAAACACTTTCCATCAGGGGAGGTATATCTAAAAGTAGGCTTATCTGTCCTGCATTCAATTTCCCAGCCAAGATGTAAAAGATGCTTCCATGCATTTTCAGCCAAAGCTTGTGTAGCCTTTTCTTTGCCCCAAATTGAATATTCCTTAACAGCATCAGGGCATGATGCAGCATCAAGAGGAATCGTTGCACTGAGAGTTTCCCAATTAACAGACCTCCCACGTCCCAAACATTTCAGCTGTTTATTTACATTTTTATGCTTGATAATTGGTGGTTGCTGACAGCTAATGGAACCACTAGCACCAGAAAATGCCTCAGAATCAGAAGCTATGGTTGATGATCCTCTAGGCAGCACAGACAATGCTTCATCATGGCAGGAAAAATCTAAATCATTTGAAGTTTTTGATTCGATATCATCATCTAGTTGAGATTTTTCTTGAGATAGATGAAAATCAATAGAATTTGGACCAGAATCTAGCAACTCCGCATCCAAACTATCATGTGTGTGCACTTCTCCCAGAGCATCAAATGCATTTTCCTGATTGAAATCATCCTTAACCATCATATCACTTTTTATAGATTCCCCAGTAACTGCAGTTGTATCAAAGTCAACAAAATTGATAGAAGGATTCTTGTTGACACAGTCATTAGTTTTTCCAAACTCACATCTTACACTTGAAGAAATTTCGAACACCCGAAGCATTTCCTTTAGAGTAATATCTAAATTTTCGTCAATGACCTCCATCACCAACTCCTTCCACAAATCATTCATAGGAGAAGTCCACTCACCAATCTTCATGAAATCTTCTTTTGCCCGTACTTCATACCATATTTGCTTCAAAGAAACTGGAAGATAGGATTCCTGCTCACATTGATCCATTAACTCAAGAAACGACCAAGTCCCACGTCTCTGCCAATCCCCGGTAGCCTCGTTCCAATCCTGCGTAATACGCAACGTTCCAATTCCAACAGTCAACTCATCCCCCAAATCTGGAAAGAAAATTCTTCTCTCTTCAGAACCATCTTCGTGATCAAAAACAACACCTTCCCACCACGCATCCTGGTAATTCACATCAACACACTGTCCATATGGCAAACCCCACTTTCCAAACTCAACCATAGGTGGTATTGGCCTTATATATCCTCGAACATTTGTATTCCCACTCAAGGAATTAACCTCATCTAAATTAGCAGAAACGGAAATAGCATCAACAAGCAAACCAGAACCATCATTACAAAGAAGATGATCGTACATAACATGACGAACTCCATTGCTACATGTAATAATAGTCCCAACATGCCAAGAACCAAGAAAGCCATCTTCCAAACTCCTTATCTGCCATAATTGACATTCATAATGTCAAAATTTCACAAACAAAGAGGCCTCATTATAAACCTACAAAGACATCCCCAATCTCTTTCCGCAAAGACGAAACCACAAAAAAGTATGTATAACAGGCAAAAAAACACACAATATTACCAAACAAAGCAAAAAATCCTCATGAACCTCAAAAGTTCTCCAATGAACCCCAAAATAATCAAACAAGCGGAACAGATAATACCTTGATTTCAGAAAACAATACAAAAACGGCATAAAAACGAAGAAAAATAAATCAGAATAGCCAGCCGTACCCTCGATTTCCAATCCGAAGACTCAAAACACCATTAAAGGCTGAAACAGAGTTACATTACCTCTACTTTTTCATCAACGAGAAGCCTTCTTTCTACACGGCGCTTCCTCTTCCTCCCAGCGCCCTGTACCTCAAGGTGCAGGACCGCCATTGATACGGCGAGAAGAAAACGGAAGAACCAATCTGTAGCCTGGCCTGTAATATTAACTGTTCACTCTTTTCTAATACTTTGCCACCAAGGTAGCCACGAAACGGAGATGGAAATACTACGGGAGATCCCATGCGACCGTATTCATGGTAACTAATCTGTAATCTTCGAAACCATTGGTCCACGTCATCATTCCGATTACGTGGCGCGAATATACGTTCTTTATAATACTCTTGTGCGTATCTCTCTCTCTCTCTCGTAATCCCATGCATTTCCTAAAAATTAAATGCTTAAAAATGGAATTCGAAAAGTGCGTAATCTGCTGGGAGAGAGCGCACCGTATCAATATGGATCTCCGTATCAATATGCAGATTTTTTTCTGAAAATATAAATAAGGTTAAAAATTAGTAAAAATATTTTAATAAATAATAATTTTAATTTTTTTAAAAGATTTTTTCCTTCGTTATAATTTTTTCCCTATCGAAAAATAGATTATTAACAAATTTAACATTTTATAATTAAACTAAATTTAAATTATATTTCATTTTTTAAATAAGCTAAAATACTTTTTTAAATAATTATTATTATTGTGAGAGAGAAAGTATGTAGACAAAAAAAAATTATTTTAGCTTTTACGGTAGAAGAAATTAAATAGTTATTTATTAATTTTTATTTTAATAAAGTGAAAAAATGGTTTTTTAACATATAAATTTTGTTTATATAAATTGTTAATTGCCTTTTTTATGTTAAATAATCCTCAACAGTATAATATATATATATATATATATATATATATATATTTTGTTAGATTTAAGAGAATTTAATGCCAAAATCATTATTAATATCGTCCTTTAATTTATTTAAATAAATATATATAATTCAATGCACGAATTTGAACTCCTTTGTGCATGGGTGAATTCTGTTACAGTTAAATAGAAACAATATTTATATTTAGTATTTAGTCCTTGCATTTCTCAAAAATTAAATGCTTGGATATAACGAATTTTTAAAACATTTTCTCCAATATAATCCTAATTGTATTGTAAAAACTTCCCAATTTGGAAGGTAATCTACACGGAATATTTTATTTCACATATTATATTAAAATATTATGAATTTAAAAAAAAAGGTAATATTGGAAGGATGATATATATATATATATATATATATATATATATATATATATATATATATATATATATATATATATATATATATATATATAATTTTGTGTTAATATTAACTTTTAATTTTGAGTATGTCAACAATTATGACCGAAAAAGTCTACACGATAAGTGGACAATATTTGTAACAATCCAAATTCACCGCTAGCAAATATTGTCTTCTAGGAGAGTTTGTTCTCCGACATCACAATCTCTTCTTTGGGTTTCCCTTGAGGGGAGTTTGTTCTCCGACATCACAATCCATCTCATTCAGGGCCACCGTCCTCCCTTCCTTCCTGACCACCCCCAAATCCACCCCCTTTGGGGCCTAGCGTCCTTACTGGCACACCGTCTCGTGTCTACCCCCTTCGAGAAACAATGAGAAGGCCACAATCCACCCCATTCATGGCTAGCGTCCTCGCTTCCTTCCTCCAATCGATGTGGGACCACCCCAAAATCCACCCCCTTTGGGGCCTAGCGTTCTTACTGACACACCGTCTCGTGTCTACCCCCTTTAAGGAACAACGAGAAGGATGGCACATCGTCCGGTGTTTGACTCTAATACCATTTGTAATGACCTAGATTCATCGCTAGCAGATATTGTTCTCTTTGGGCTTTCTCTCGAGGCTTTAAAACGCGTTTGTTAGGGGAAGGTTTCCACACCCTTATAAATGGTGATTTGTTCTCCTCCCCAACCAATGTGGGACATCACAATATCATACCATTGTGGAGAATCGAGTTCATTTAACATGGTATCAGAGTCATGCCCTAAACTTAGTCATGTCAATAGAATTCTCAAATGTCGAACAAACTTCAAACGAAAAGGAGTCAAGGCTCTTCAAGGGCATAGTAAAAAATGACTAAGACTCAAAAAAAAAAAAAAAAGAGTCGAGTCTTGATTAAGGGAAGACGTACTTTGTTCGAAGGGAGATGTTGGATGAAAGTCTCATATCGACTAATTTAGGGAATAATCATGAGTCTATAATCAAATAATACTATTTCCATTGATATAACGCATTTTCAGAAGTCTAAAGTAAAGTCATGAGAGTTTATACTCCAGATAAGTATACAATATCATACCATCATTACTTTTCATAATATAAATTTAAATGTAATTTATATATATTTATAAATGGAAGCGAAGATCAAAGAATATAATTGTAGCTCCCGGTTCTACCAACAGGGAGAAATCTGGTCCCGTTTAAAGTGGGTCCCACAAATTAAATGATAACGATTGAATTAGCAAAGTCAAAGTCAAACCAGATACTGACATATGCACTTATTAATATATATATTTTTAGTTTATTATTGCTTTTCTTCAACAATGGAATATGCAAACTATTAAAATCTATATACTTTGAAATCGCTGTAAAATTACAAAAGTGCCATGTAATATTAAATGTTTATTTTATGAGAAAAATTGGGGATAATATGCAAAAAAAATTCGATGGTACTAGAAATTTCGTTTCTTTTAGCGGGTAGAACATGACTGGCTAACATCAAGCAGCTATCAAATCCCGAGCTTTTGATAATGAAAAAACCACTTTTTCTTTTCATTGTTCCCCAGATCTTCGCTTTTTAATCTTCGAACGAGGAGGAAGAATCTGTGAAGATTCCATCCATGGCCTGGTTTAGGAATCTCAAGCAACTTTCATCCACTAAAGCATCACTCAGATTCAAAAATCCACACCCATTTTTTCCTTCCACGGCGCCGTTCGCTTTCCTCCTCTCTCATTTTAGCTCTCAGGCTAGCTCCGATGCGGTGGTGGCTCAGCCGCCGGGTCTCGGACCGACGGCAGAAGGCGAGAAGCCGAGGGTGGTGGTTTTGGGATCTGGTTGGGCAGGTTGCAGATTGATGAAGGGATTGGACACTAGCATATACGATGTCGTTTGCGTTTCGCCTCGCAACCATATGGTATTCACTCCTCTTCTAGCTTCCACCTGTGTTGGAACTCTGGAATTCAGATCCGTCGCCGAACCAATCGGCCGGATTCAGCCTGCCATTTCTCGCGAACCTGGTTCCTATTTCTTCCTTGCAAATTGTACTGGCGTTAACACCGATGAACATGTGGTATGCTTCGCAATTGTGTCACTGTTTCATTGAAGTTTACGATTGCGAACAGTTTGCTAAAATCTCTCTGGTTTTTTAAACTAGAATCGAATGAATCCTCGTTAGACCTAGAAGATGAGAACTAAAAATTTCAGAAAGAAAAATCTCTGATTCTAACTTCCTTCTGAGAAGGGGATTGTTTCACTTGTTGTTGAAGGTGCAATGTGAGACGGTCACTGATGGATTGAACACTTTGGAACCATGGAGGTTTAAATTATCGTATGACAAGTTGATCATAGCTTTGGGATCCCAGCCATTAACTTTTGGGATTCATGGTGTCAAAGAACACGCCATTTTTCTTCGTGAGGTCTATCATGCCCAGGAAATTCGTAGGAAGCTGCTTTTGAACTTGATGTTGTCTGATGTTCCTGGTATAGAATAGATGGTTTTATGAGACTTGCCAATAGTGTTTTTTTCTTTTGTTCAGTGGACATAATTTGAATAGTTTGTTCTTGGCAGGCATCTCAGAGGAAGAGAAGCGTCGGCTTCTACACTGTGTTGTTGTTGGCGGAGGTCCAACTGGAGTAGAATTCAGTGGGGAACTTAGTGATTTTATCATTAAGGATGTTACTCAAAGATATGCTCATGTGAAAGATTATATCCAAGTTACTTTGATCGAGGTTTGTAAAACGTCAAACTCAAGTATCGAATTCTTTATGCATAATACACCATGTGCATATTGATCTCAATTTCTCGAAGTTTCGGCCGAGTTGTTTCTCTATGCTAGGTTGTTGAGCTTCTAATATTTCTGGCATTGTGTGGGAAGTTTACTGGATAGGTTTTTAAGACTTCGAGGGGATTTACTTGCTTGTATTTGTATAATCGTTTAACAGGCAAATGAGATATTGTCTTCCTTCGATGATCGCCTTCGGCACTATGCTACTAAGCAATTGACAAAGGTAGGGGTAGGAAAATCGATGCATCAAAGTCATGCTATTTTATTCCTTAAGCCATAATCATAACAGGTTTCAATTTCACATTTCTTAGGATGCTTTGAATTTGAAATTCTTTCATTTCATTTGTTCGTATCCCACAGTCCGGAGTTCAACTCGTACGCGGCATTGTAAAAGATGTTAAACCTCAGTCCATCATTCTCAATGATGGCTCTGAGGTTCCTTATGGGCTGTTAGTTTGGTCTACTGGTGTTGGGCCCTCACCTTTTGTAAATTCCTTGGATGTTCCAAAGTCTCCTGGTGGCAGGTAAGTTAAACGTTTGTTTGCCTCTTATCCAAAATGTTTGTTTGCCTCTTAGATTTCAGAACTTTCAAGCAATTGTTTTGAAAATGTCATGCTGCTTTTTCTGTAACCCTCCTTCTAAGATAGGCAAATTGTTCTGAGACCAGTTGGGGATCCATTCATATTTAGGGAAATTCTCCGTCTCCGTCTCCATCTCCGTCTCCTCGGGCTTACTGACCTCGCTATCTATCACCAAAAAAGTTTAATTTCAGCTTCATATGTTATGGACAATATAGTTATATCTTTACCCTCACATATGATCTGCTTTGGCCCAACGTTCGTGTCATCTTTATTTAAGTCCTAGAATCGTTGTACTTCTGATTAAGGTTTCCTATTTATGCTTACTTTTCGATTATCAATCCAAATATTGCTTAGAGAGATGATACTTTTCTGGTTATATATTGGTAGGATTGGTATAGATGAGTGGTTACGTGTTCCTTCTGTGGAAGATGTGTTCGCAATAGGCGATTGCAGTGGTTTCCTAGAGAGTACAGGGAAACAAGTTCTTCCAGCTTTGGCCCAGGTAAGTTATGATGCTCCTAAAAATTCTGGGTTTTCTGAATGAGCTATGAAATGTCAAGTTCTTACTGCATTTCTGCATCCTGAAGGTAGCAGAGCGGCAAGGCAAATATTTAGCAGCCTTGATGAATAAAATTGGTAAAGAAGGTGGCGCACGAGCAAGTAGCGGAAAAGACTTGGAACTTGGCGCGCCTTTTGTCTACAAGCACCTCGGAAGCATGGCAACTATTGGAAGATACAAGGCTCTTGTCGACCTTAGGCAGAGTAAAGTAAGGGCTACCTTTCTTTCTCACATACAATGTAGTTAGGTGGCTTACTTGCGAATGTTTTCTACAGGAAGCAAAGGGGTTATCCATGGCGGGGTTCATCAGTTGGTTCGTTTGGCGTTCGGCTTATCTAACGCGTGTCATAAGCTGGAGGAACAGATTGTATGTGGCAGTGAACTGGGCAACAACTTTCATCTTTGGTCGTGATATAAGCAGAATATAGAATTGGAGGTAAGAACTCAACATCCCCTTTCCACGTACTAAATATCATGTGCCGTACTTTCATTGCCACAGATTGTATGTAAATCTGAATGATGGCTGTTCGAATGCTATTTCTCATCAGAAGCACACTGTATAGTTTGTTAAATCCAAAGCATTAGTGCATGTTGTTAGAAATCCAAATGAAGCCAATCATTGGAAATTTAAGTTTGTACTGCAACTTTATCCGTGCTTTTGAATATTAAGTTTAGAGGATGATGTGAAAGAGGAATTGTGAGATCTCGAATCGGTTGAAGAGGGAACGAAACATTCTTTATAAGGGTGTAGAAACTTCTCCCTAGTAGATGCGTTTTAAAAATTGTGAAGCTGACAACGATACGTAACGGGCTAAAGTGGACAATATTTGTTAGCGGTGGATTTGGGTTGTTACAAATGTTATCAGAGTCAGACATTGAGTGGTGTGTTAGTGAGGACGCTGAGCTCCCAAGGGAGGAGGATTGTGAGATCTCACGTCGGTTGGAGAGGAGAATAAAACATTCTTTATAAGAGTGTGAAACTTCTCCCCAGTAGATTCGTTTTAGTTTAGAAGGGAAAGCCCAAAAAAGACTAAATTTATTTATGGTGAGCTTGGGCGATTTTTAGAAAATTCTTTAACACCACCAAGTTCATCGATATGGAATTGTATTGTATTGTGTCTTATTTAAACTTGTTTTGGTTCGCAAAATTGGCTTTGTTTGAGTAATGATAAGCGAGATCTTCGAGAGGTCTAAATTTCAAAAAGAAAATCGTTATGAAATTTAGATTATGAAGTATAAAGGGGTATACCTATGCTCATCTTATAGCAACCTACTTTCTTTATCCAGTGCTCTTCCCACTACCAACACCACAAAAGAACTAAAGCAGTTAGAAAGATGGCCTTTTTGGTAGTGCTCCATAATCCCTCTCCCACTTTGAATTTTAGCTTTCAACTTTTGGATGCTGAAGCTAATTGGTGAATCCTCATAGCTTTTTTGCCATTGCACTTCAGAAAGGCAACCGGTTAAATTTAGGACGGAGGTCGGGATTTTGATTCTATTAAGACTTGGAATAGGACAACGTTAACTCGTTTCAGGTCACCTTTTCTGCCCACCAAAATTCTAACGTACTTCTAGTTAAAAAGTAGTTAAGAAACGTTTATGAAATGTCAAATATAATATTCTAATTTTTGAAATAACGAGAAGAATTAGTTATGCAATGAGCAGAAACATTCCTTTCTGCTCGGGTTTGATTAATCCTTTTCGGTACAATATTCTTTTAGCTTGGGGAAAATCTCCCTTACCTAAAATGACGAATATCAATGAGCATTTAAAAAATATTATAAGATCAGTAATCCATTAAATGGAAGCACAAAAAAAAAAAAAAAAAAAAAAAAAAAGGGCCAAACTCCAAAGCTCAAGCAACTAGCTGCTCTTGTTCCATGTACATTTGCTTCAAATCGCTATTGTCAAGATGCCAAAGCTGCTGTTTCTGCTGCTCCATGCTCAACTGCACCGAGTTCTCGCTCGAAGTATCCTTCACCAAGGACTGAACCCAGGACACGTCTGGTTCGGGAGCGGTAGCGTGCATTGTGGGCGTTGCCAGAGAACTGCCTTGAAACCCATATGATGCAGATTTCCTTAGCTTGATGAGTTCTTCTCCATGAATTCCCCAGTCTAGCTTTCCATTGGGCGAACCCCAATCCGATAGGTTCGAAGGCATGGCATTCTGTTCGATGAAGCTCTGGCTACGGTTGGTGAAAAGCGCACCCCTGGGACTTAGAACGTTAGCTGCAGCAGACACGGATGGTTGAGACGACCTTGCAGGTGGGGAGCCAATGCTGTTAGCATAGCTCGAGAGGAAAGACTGATTCAGGCTTTGGCGCATCTGAATCCCGGAAGGTGATTGTACTTGAGTTCCCATAGAATCCAGTGAAAGTCCTTGTAATTGAGGCAACATTGCGGGATCTACCGACCCGAAAAACTCCTCGAGGTTCGTAGGCTTCATGCCTCCAAGTCCATTCAACTCCCCATTTCTACTCCTTGGGGATGGAAAAGGTGCAGTGGTTGACAAGCCATTGTTCCATCTGGAAGGGGAAGGTAGACACGATATCTCATCGATCAACTGCTTTTGTCGATGACGCTGACTTTCGAGACAAAGTAACTCGACGTCTAAATCCACGTCTCTTGCGTTCAAATATGCCTTCAACCTGCTACCTGGAAGCTGCAAGGTCGGAGGTTGAGTCTGCCACATGGTTCCACCCATTGGAGAAGAAACTCCAGTAGGAGGAGTTAAAGGAGGAGTCGATGAAGAAGGCATCAAAGCTGAAGGAGAACCGAGGGTAAGTGAGCGGATCGCCGCCATGTCTAATGAAGAACCACAGATTGATCTCGGTGACGGTACAGCAGAACCCGTTGAAGCATACAAGGGGCGGAGCTCTTCCGGTTTGTGAGCAAAGAAACAAACTTTTCGGGTGCATCCAGTTTCGTCCTTGCAAAGACGGGTACGGTATTGAGCAGGATGAAGCCAACATTCAAAAATTCCATGAGCATATTCACACGCATCGCCCTGTCTACATGTTCCCTTTCTGAATTCCGGGCACAGGACGCAGCTGTAATGGTATTTCCTTAGATCCCGCCTCCTCGCGTTCTCCCCGGGGTGAACAAACGGACACTCCGTCCAATCATGAGAGTAAGCTCTCGTACACGGTTTGATCTTAAAAGTATACATCCTAAACTCATCTGTGCTATACATTTCATTCTTGATATCAGGAAGTGAGAGATCAACTCGATACTCTTTCTTCTCCATCCCATCTCTTGCAGCCCAAGAGCTCGAAGCCTCCACCGGCTCCAGCGTTTCCATCTCATAAAATATCGCCTCCGACGACCCAAGGCCATCTTCTTCCCAACCATTGAGCAATTGTTGTAATACCTTTCTCCTTGAATACGAAGCTAAACTAAAATCACGACCAATCAAGTCACCAGGCTGATTACCATTCGCATCGACAGCACTCGCATCAGCCGACGCATCAAGCAAGAGTTCAACAACCTGATCCGAAACAGCAGAACCACCAGCAACAGCACAATGTAGCGCCGTCGGGCCATCAGAGCCACAAGCCCGATTAACATCGACACAACCACGGTGAACGATATACGACAGAACATTCAAGCTCCCAAACATGGCTGCAACCATTAGAGGAGTCCTTTCTTCATATCTCATCTTCTTTGAACCAATACTTCTCCCATACCACAAGCTTGCCTCATCAATATCATAACCATGTTCCTCAACAGCACTCCTAAACCCAATAAGGTCATCTGTAGCTGAAAATTCCAGCAAAACAGATAAACAAACCCCCAAATTCCCTTGCTTAAATCCACCGTTCATCACGAAATTAGGGCTTACAGATTTGCTATTGCAGCACATCAAATCTATCCGTTCTAAGACCTCCAAATCTCTACACATATATAATCATCAGGAACACATTCAGAAATTACATTCTATAAGCTAAACTGAACAAGAAATCAACCACAAAAACCAAACACCAAAGACGAAGGTATATTAGTTTAGATTGGTGAAAAACCATCCAAAATCAAGTAGAAATGGAGAGAGAACAAAAAAACACGACACCCAACAAGCAAAACGACATAATAAAAACAACCCCTGTTTTTTTGTTTACCGGTATAACGGCAAGAAAGAAGAATGAAAGAACAGGAACGGATAGTTACCAGAAACTAAAAAACTGTTCCCAATACCAAAATACAGAGAATTCGATGAATTATCTGCTAACCACAAACGATTTAACTAAAATCTCAAAACTCCATTTCAAAATCATGCTCAAACAACACATAATCTTGTCGAAACTTACCTCGTACGAAGGAAAAAGATCCGACAGCGGCAAAAGGGAGATCAAAAGAGAAGCTCCGACGGAGCTGGACCTGGTTTCTGAACTGAACTTCGAGCTGATTAGAAAGAAAATAGGAGTTTTATTGGGTTCAAGTAAAAAAAGACCAAACTAATTTTCTGCATAAGCCAAAGCTCTTCGGTCTCCGCCACACCGTCCTCTTCAAACTCTTTTCTTTCTTTTTAATTTTTAATTTTTTTTTTAATTATTATTTTTTTTTCTTGTCTTCTTCGTCTTTGATTTGCTTCTGTGAAATGAAACTCAAATTCAATCCCAAATGAAATGCAACTCAAATGCGGAAATTCAAAAAATTATACGAAATAATAATACCATTGTGGGCCCCACGTAAGGTGACTGAATGTATGCCACGTGTTAGTGTAACACTGGGAGAAATAGTGCACCAAAATGACCGTATTGATGTTCCGGATCATCACGCCTTGCGCGTTTTTTCGTCTCGGCGAATGACGTGGTAAATTCATTTTTTACCCTTTTAACTAACCATTTCTCAATTAAAAATTTTAATCTCAATTTTTTACGTTGTAAAATTTATAACCAATAAATCAATTAATTTTTTTCTTTTTGATTGAAATTCATCAATTTTATTAAATAAACAAGTATTAATCATTCGGCGCATAACTAAGGTGGTCGTTAGACTTTTGGACTTTGATTTGACTTTTATAGGTAGAGTTCAGGTCACTTTGACCTCAGTCGAAGGGTCGGTTGGGGCCTTTTGCCTTTCTCGCGACTCTCCCATGACCTAATTCACCCCTTAAGTCGATGACGGACCACGAGCTTGATTGAGTCTCAACGTATTTGTAACCTTCTTATACCTATTCTAATAGGTTCAAATTCACCCAACTATTTTCTATAGTTGAAATAATAAATAAATATATATATTATTTATTTGTAATTCATTTTTCATGTTCCCGTCAGTTATTGGGCCATAGGCCCAAAACATTTGGGCTTTTACTAAAGGTTCATATCCACGAATTCAGCCCAGTCCGCGAACCACCTTCATTCACCTTCATTGCCGCCTTGTTTGGCCTTTCACTAACCGGCGGCAGCTGAAACAGCAACCCTACGGGATTCAATTCGAACTTCGGTTTCATTTCAAGCTTTCGCATCCAGTGGTCTTCCCCTTCTTAGGCTCTGCTAATTTTTGTTCTGTGCGAAATGAGTACCGTTCAGGTTGCTTTGCGAACCCTTGGTGGAGGCTTATCGCGGAGATTTAAGCAACCTTCGGTGCTCAGAAACCTCTCCACAAACGCCGCTCGTGGTAATTTCTACTTGTTTTGGTTTTGAATCCATGAATTTATTATTTTTACTGTGATTTCTGAAGTTCGTTTTGGCTTGGGCGGAAATTTGTCAGGTTTATTCTAAGTAAATGTTTCTCAAATGTGTCTCTGTTTAGACATCGGTTTTACGAGGTTTTTCTTGTAAAATCTCAAGTTTGGTTGTGTAATTGGTAATGTGATTCAAGGCATGGTTTTACAATTTTCATGTTTAAAACTTTTATGCAGACAGTGGCTTTGATGATAAGGGAAAACCTGATTCGTTTGAGTCTGCTGATGACTTTGAACGTCGGATATTCGGGGGTGTTTCTGCGGGCGATTCCGGAAATGATGCTTTCTTTGAGAAGCTTGATAGACTTGGCAAACCTCGTGAAAGAATAGGTTCGCGACTGAGTGGAGGAAACAATTTTCAGGCGCTGTATGGGCTTGATGATAATCTTAACACGCTATCAGATGGGATGGATGGCAAGTTGAAGAAAGCTTCCACTTATTTTGAGTTTGATACCGAGGAAATTGCAAAAGATGATTATACATTCAGAGCAGATATGTCTTTTAAGCCTGGATCAACATACGAAATCAAGGCATGTAGCTGAGCAACTAATTGTTTTTTATACTTGTTATGAACAAATCCTTGTCATTTTTCGTGTCAACTTCTAACTATGATTACATTATGCCTAATCCGAGCATAGTTAGACACTTATTGCCATATATGTATATATATAATTACACCATATCTAAATTTTACTTTTCTAGAACCAATCCATGTCTCCTTCAAGAAGCATATTAGGTGAGTATTATGCCCAACTATGTTCGGACGGTTAGTATTCGGATTAGATGATCCGTGATGGAAATGAACTTAACTATATTATCATGACCTCCCTGCACCTTCTGTAGATAATGTTGTAAGCTTACTGTTACCATTATTCTGAGTACTTTCGAATTTATACAGGATCTGGATCTAACAAAGCCAGGCGTACGCAAACCTCCAAAAAGGGTTGAGTTTCAGGTGACAACTGAGGAGGTCTTAAGAAAAGCTGATTTCAGGGTGAGCTTTCCTGAATTTCATTGACCTTGCCATTTTACTGATCCGCTTCTCATTTCATTATGGATAGCTAGGACTAGGAATAAAACGTGGTTGGAATTGGTGGTATGGTAACAGACCTTTTGATTCGTTGCAATCATCTCTCACTTAATCGAACATGGAATATCTTATGGTATGAATTGCTCATCTTTTAAGGATCATAGCTTATGAACTGACAAAAAATGGGTCATAGTCTTAAAAGAAATCCTTGAATTTGAATCTAGTCAATGTGAGTAGTTTAGAAATTTCGAAGTACAAGAAACAATAAGTTGGAACAGGGTTATTTACCGCTGATTTTCTGTACAGTTCTATTTAAGAAATCTGGCATGGATTATTTGTAACACCCCTAGCCTACCCCAACTCCAGGTAGATATTGTCTTTTTTGGGCTTTCCCTTCCGAGTTTCCCCTCAAAGTTTTAAAACGTGCCCATTAAGGAGAGGTTTCCACGCTCTTATGAAGAATACTTTGTTACCCTCTCCAACCAATGTGGGATATCACGATCCATCTCCTTGAGGCCCAGCGTCTTCGCTGGCACATCGCCCTGTATCTGGCTCTGATACCATTTGTAAGCCCAAGCCCACTGCTAGCATATATTGTCCACTTTGGCCCGTTACATATCGCTGTCAGCCTCACGGTTTTAAAACATGTCTGTTAGGGAGAGGTTTTTACACCCTTCTAAGGAATGCTTCGTTCTCTTCTCTAACCAAGGTGGGATCATCTTTATTTTATCAAAACTCTCCCATCCCAGAACAAGAGGAGCCCTTCCCATTAGAAATTTGGTCTGTCATCATTGACATGGTGTGGTCATCAGTAGCATGGACTATCAATTTTTTGTTTTGTTTTGTTTTTTTTTTTTTTTTACATAAATTGCAGTTATACACGAGCTCCTGATATGGGCAGTGCGTATAAACGGTTGTATTTTCATTGTCAATCAAGGAAGAAAGATCATGCAATGACCTCTAAGTTTCTAACAGTTGCTCGTTTGCAACATTAAAGAGGTCATGAAACCATCACTATCAATTTCATTGCTACCAAAAAATATTCTTGTGGCCACTGAAATTTAGTCTTTTGCCCACGTCTCTCTTAAGGAAGTTTATTTATGTCACTTACCCCTGCTGTATGCATATCTAACAATGAGCCAATAGTTGTTTGCAGAATGTTAGGTTTCTGGCAAACTTTATTACGGACGCTGGGATCATTATCAAGAGGAGCAAGGTAAACTTTTTGAACAATAATCATATTTTGCACAAGTTGAGTCGTCATCCTTAATCTTATTTTATCACTTCAACAATTTGCAGACCCGTATTAGTGCCAAGGCACAGAGGAAAGTTGCGCGCGAGATCAAAACTGCACGGGCATTTGGCTTAATGCCCTTCACGACAATGGGAACCAAATCATTTGTTTTTGGAAAAACCATGGAGGATCTTGATAAGGACTATGAGTATGAAGTTTTCGACAACAATGATGGAGGACACCCGCTCGGATCCTAGAGACCATGCTTTTAGATGGTTTGTGAATTATTTCCCTCACCCTTGTCTTTGATCCAACCATTATCTCAATCAAACATTACATGGCTGAACTTGTTCTGATTGCTGATTATCATCCTGCCTCAAGTCCCCAGAGTCCATCTTGCAAATTTGTTCATGCAGGAAGATATTTCAAAAACTTCATAGTCATAGCCTTCTCATCGAGATATTCTTTAATTTTGTTTTATATATTGATATTCTGGTTACTATAATTTGCGTATTTGTTTTTCATCTACCGTATATTATGTAACGATGAGGTAACTCATCAGCCATAAATTGGAACAGTTTGTTAGTTTTCCTCCATTGACATGTTAGGCAGAATTAAATGATGGCTGCTTTTGTTTCGAATCAATGGCATATTAACAGAACACTGGAGCGAAAATTTTCATAACTATTAGTTTGCATTTGATCTCGGATATGATGTTGAACCAACCCGTGTTTTTTCTTGGTTCCTTGTTTGAATCAATCAGTAGATGAAATTCAGAGTCGTTGCTAGGGCTAGTGATGAAATTCGGGTCGTTGCTAGAACTTGTGAAAATGAAAGTCGTTGCTACCTTGCCAATGGCTGGTAGCTTCAAAAGGCAAGTTTAATTCTAAGCATATCTGCATCCACTGACTTTGTCATCGTGACAAAGCTAAGCAGCCAAAGGGCATGGACATCTCGGTTTTAGTCCGTGCACAAATATCGCAAACATTTAAAAGCAAATAAAGAGGAGCAAAAATGATTTAGCTACAGAGTACTACACAATAGATCATATATCATATTTGGGTTGAGAGCACACGTTTTAACCAGTTGAAGTTAAACTATGCTCCAAAAACTAAGAACAACCCAGATCTAAATAACGATCGATCAAGGACTCGCCTGGAACTAAGAACAACCCAGATCTAAATACCGATCGATCAAGGACTCGCCTGGAACTAAGAACAACCCAGATCTAAATAACGATCAAGGACACGCCTAAGAAGAGCCACTTTTAATCCTGATGAAATAAATACATGACAAGAACAAGGTGATGACTAGCCAAAACAGAACGATTTTCAATCTAGGAACAGCCATGAAAGCTTTCCCCTGATGAATAAAGATGAAAATTTCTCAGGCATCAAAGATAAATTACACTCATAATTTACAAAATCTGTGGTTTTTATCTTTCTGATCGGTTAATGATTTCATAGATAATCAAGGTTCAACCAAACCATTCGTTCTAGTAACAAAAATTCAATCCTAGAACATGAAACACAAGTAATTATCGGATACATCAGTTGCCAAAAGAACCCATATAGGAATATAATTATTAGACAAAACCCAGATTACGAATATATTTATTGGTTTCAACTCAACAAACGAAAGAGAAAAACAAGTTTAGTCAAATAGATGATATGGAGCTAAAAGGATTACTAAACCTTCAAGATTTCAACAGAATTCTTGAAGATCATCACCTTGTCGGTAGGTAGATTAGTAGCGAAACCCAACTTCAAGCCTTTTATCTGATTCACAAACCAAAAATGATAAACTGAAATTACTCCGATCGATTTGCATACCTCTCCACATTCACATTGTCGTTATTGAGGTTAATTCCAGCCATGGCCTCACCCAATCCAGAGCTCACCTCTGCTAACACATCAGGATCGCTGTAATGCGTAGCGGCTTGCACGATTGCCCTAGCTCGCCTCGCCGGATCGCTGCTCTTGAACACGCCCGAGCCGACGAATACTCCGTCGCATCCCAACTGCATCATCATCGCGGCATCGGCCGGAGTTGCGATTCCTCCAGCCGCGAAATGCACCACCGGTAGCCGTCCGAGCTGCTTGGTCTGCATCACCAAGTCATACGGTGCCCCAATCTCTTTTGCGTAACAGAAAACTTCATCATCGTCCATATTCCTCAGCATCCTAATGTCGCCCATCACAGACCTCACATGCCGAACGGCCTCCACAACGTTTCCAGTTCCGGCTTCGCCTTTGGTCCGAATCATCGCAGCACCTTCGCGAATTCGGCGTAATGCTTCCCCTAAATTTCGACATCCGCACACGAACGGGATCCGAAAATTGTGTTTGTTGATATGGTTCTTATCATCAGCCGGAGTCAAAACCTCGCTCTCATCGATGTAATCGACACCAATAGCCTCAAGGATTTGAGCCTCGACGAAATGACCAATTCGAGCCTTAGCCATGACCGGGATGGTGACAGCCTGCTTGATTTCCTTGATCAGTTGAGGATCGCTCATGCGAGCGACTCCACCTTGAGCCCTAATATCGGCCGGAACTCTCTCGAGGGCCATAACGGCGCAGGCGCCGGCCTCCTCCGCGATTCGGGCCTGCTCGGCATTAACAACGTCCATAATTACGCCGCCGCGAAGCATTTGGGCCAAACCGGCTTTGACGGAGAAGGGAGATTTCTTGGTAGTCTCACAAATGACGCCATTGCCGTAAACGGTGACTACGCCAGTGTCCGCCATTAGAGGAAGAAGAAGGAGAAAGAGAGGAGAGGGAAATTGAAAATTGGTTTAGAAAGGGTTATGTGTCAAAGGGCGAGGACAGGGGTGGCGATTAATAGAATGCAACTACTGTCTTATTTTCTATTAAATTAAAGGTTAATTCTTTTTTTCTTTTTCTTTTTCTTTTTTAATTAAAAAAATACAACTTTTAAAATATTAATTTAGAGTTATAATGTGTGAACCATATTTTTCTAACCTTTTCCGAAACCTTCAACCGTCTTTTTAGGGTTAAAGTTCGAGTGCATCGTATTGGTATAGATAATAATTTTTAATCTTATACTCAAGATCGCTACTATTCAGATGTAGTCTCGGTTCATTCATGTACTCATCATTTGATGGGTTAAGTTTATTTTTTGGAATAATTTAACACAAACCTAGTTTAGATTTTTTTTTTTTTTTTTTTTTTTTTTTTTTTTTTTTTTTTTTTTTTTTTTTTTTTTTTTTTTTTTTTTTTGCAAGATCACACGTTGGTGGGAGAGGACCAATAATTTCGTATTGGAGTGGAAACCTCTTCTTAGTAGAGGTAGAGGTTCATAATGGTACATAACAGGTCAAAACGGACAATATCTATTAGCGGTCAAATTTAGGGATATTACAAATGGTATCATAGCCACTCACTGGCCAGTAGGAGACGAATTGTGAGATCCCACATTAGTTGGTTGGATAGTTTGTGCAAATCGAGTATGAAAACCTCTCTATAATAGACGTATTTTAAAACTATGAAAGTGACAATGATACGTAATAAGTAAAAATAGACAATATTTACTAACGGTAGACTAATACTAGCACATTTTTTATATAATGTTCTCAACCAAATTGCAAATTTTGTTTATACCAATAGGATATAATTTTATGGTACTTTTAACTAAAATGAGTTTGTTTTAGATCAATATCGACTATAAATAAAAGGTCGGAGATTTAAACCTTCGGTCAAAATAATTAGAGTAAATTTTGGCAAAATTACTCCCAATGGGGTAAAAAGAGAGATTCCATGAATTATTTAAAAAGCCTGAAAAAGGGAAAAGGAAATAAAATACGAAATATTATAATTAATAAAATAATATGTGACACAATAAATTCACTACAAAATAGAATTTCAATTTGATTTTTTAAAGCTGTAATATTCCACTCTATTGCTTTCAAAGGATTGCTTGATTAAGCTTGTGGAATTTATAAAAGAAAAAAAAAGAGAAAAATTAATTTATACCACTAATTAAAATTACAAACTAATATTTAAAATAAAATAAAACAAAATAAATATTTTCCTAGAATAATAAAAAAAGTAATAATTAATATTGATTTTTTTTATCTAAAAAAAGAAACTATTAGAAAAATTACTTCCTTCCCTATAGTAACGAACTGGAGTTGTTCAACCAATGGGAGCAGAAAGGAAGACACGTGGTAGAAGTGGATTGGATGAAGCTAGCAACTACACGTTTTTCGCGAGCAGAGAATTTGGGTATAAAAGGCCTTGGCATGCCATTTCTCTCTCGATTCTCTTTCCGATTGATTTCCCTTTCGCGGACTACTGTGTTAAGGTTTTATTTTCTTCGAGTGAGACTTTCCCGGCGAGATGGTGAAAACGGCGCCATTGATATTATGTACCTTCCTCCTATTAGGAACCCTAACTCTCATCCAGGTAATTATTCTCGATCTCTCTCAATTTCTCTTTGTAATTGGATCGCTTTTTAGCGACAGATTTTTCTGCGCTTTAAAGAAGTGCTAATTTCTCTGCGGTCTGTCGCGCGTTTTAGATCTGTAATCAATTCCGGTTTCGTATAGTGGTTCGAGAATGAGGTTTTAGTTCGTTACGTATTGTTTTAGTCATTTGGATCAGAATGGGAATAAAGTTTATAAAGTGAAAGCAGAAAATTAATTTATGAAATTTATGCTTCCAGGCAAAGAAGTCCAAGGGGAATCTGAAAGAAGTGACTAACAAAGTTTACTTCGATATTGAAATCAACGGGAAGGCTGCTGGTATGGTTGATATTTTTTTCTTTCTTTTTTTTGGTCTAAATTGATAGTGTGAATTAGAATTGGAATGGAGTGCAGCGGCACGTTTGATTTCCATTTCTTTGCTAGAACGACTTCGCATTTTCTTAGTTTAACATTGATAAACCTAAATTAACTTAACTAATTTTGTATCGCATGCTCGATTTCCGTTCTCTTGCTTTATACATTAAGATTTCTTAGTTAAATATTAGTTTAACTACATTCATATTGTTTATTCTGTGGTAGCACAATGTAAAGCCATACCTGATTTACATTCTTGATGCAGTAATGAAATCGTGTTTAGCGTGATATAATGTTTAGACATATTTTCCATATTAGTAAATTGTATAATGCTCAATAGTTTGTCGCGATTGGCTGGACTTGAGACATCAGTCATATTATTTGAATGATATTTGCGCCTAGTGATACAATGAAGGATGTAAAGGAAAGCTTAACGCCCATTTCTGCTAAGGCAATTATAATCGGAGACATCACTCTATAGAGTCTTAACGGAATATATTTTGTTGCGGTTCTTTAACTGGAGCATTCTCATTTGGATGATAACTCTCTTGCAGGTCGAATCGAGATGGGGCTTTTTGGGAAGGCTGTTCCTAAAACCGCTGGTACGTTAATTATTTGTGGTTAGGACTATCAGTGCTGGATTATGTACACCAAATAAATTCCTGACTATTTTTTGTGTGATTTTGCAGAAAATTTCCGAGCTCTATGCACGGGTAAGAAGATAACTCTGATTTAAATTATATTCTCAAGTAGAGTTTGAGGATTTGCTCTATATAAGTCAGAGTATAGAGATCTTCTTAACAATTATATTAAATCGAGTTACCGATGCCATAATAACGTGTGGTACAAAATATGCCCTC